TCCCCAGACAAGACATGATGTGACCGCAGCCGTTCTTGGAGGCAGGAAGGTTGGGGATGGGTGAAAAAGCAGTGGGACTGGGTGCTGAGTCTTTTTTTTTTTTACTTCCCAGAAGTTAGGAATCGAGGGAAAGGCAAGAGACAGCAGCTGAAGATGGGAAACAGGAACAAATACAGTTTTCTTTGAGGGTCAGGTTAGTTTCCGCCGTATTTCTCCGTTCAGTCTGGTCCTGAATCCACTTTCTGCTCCCTGGTCCCCACCATGCATGATGGGTGCAGTTCACGTGCACACCACTCTCACCACGAGCTCCTGGGCCTGCCTCTGCCTTACAAGAAAGCCCCACGTAGGGCAGATCATTACAAGAATAGCCTCAATCTGCTGTGAATTACCAGCTTGCAAGTAAGTAATTGACAGACTGATGAATTTGACTAAAATTCGGTGGTACTTGTAGCTCATCTCGGAACTGAGGAGGGTCTACCACCAAGTCAGGACGTTGGTGGCATTTACTGCGGTCAACCTAAGTTAGCAGGCAGTGTGCTGAGTCGGGGAGGGAGCCTGTAGCTGGTAATCGACTCACTCACCCATTTGTCATTTATTCAACACACACATTTAAGCTCCCAGGATGTGCCACACATCCTGCCGGCAGCTGGGCACGTACTTGTAAACAAACCAGACTCAGCACCCACCCACGTGAAACCTGGAGTCTAAGGTCGAGGTTGGCTTCCTGTCTTGGCAGTTACCCAGCTGGGAGAGTACCGTCACGAAAGGGTTATGCAGAGCTGGGACCATAGCCCTCCACCTGAGGATTACTCTTATTGGCCTGAGCCATCCACAGTGTAATCCGGCAGAAAGGTGAGGTTTTAGAGGAAGGGGGCCTGCCCGAGTGGTGTTTATACCTGGGCAGGACACATTAGACTCAGTGTATCACAGCCACCGGGAGCCCTTCTAGAAAAGGCACCTCTGTGCAGGCCAGTAATTTAAGATCTTCCCAAGGAGACCTTCTAAAGCCCTGTTGGTTGTGTGATTGACGCTTGCCTTGTGCCCAGTAACATTAGGGACCTTAGTTCCACTAGGTACCATTAGGACACATTGGTTAAAGTTGCAACAAAGCAGCTGGTCTAGTGGTCAAAGTGTGTTCCTCAGTTAACAACAACAACAACAAAATTAGCAGGACTCTATTCCATTCTATTAATGAATATATTAAGTTTCAATGATTTTTAAGTTTTTAAATTCCTGATTGTCACATTATGTCACAAGCAAGTAACGAGCATTTAAATGGAGTGTTTAATTCATTGATTTGGGTAGAAGTTTGTATAGTGTAAAGAAAGAAATACAATTTGTTGTGTTTTTGAAGAGTGTCAAGTAGCATGAAAAAGTGAGCATTACTGTTAAAGGCAAAGTAGAAAGAGAAGGAATTTATTTTGCTTTTGATTTAGGGGTTTGTTTGTTGTTGGTTTTTTTTTTATTTAATTGCTGATCACCAGAATTGTGGCCAGTGTATCAGACCTGCACTAGACAAAGTGCTCATCTTGGAGACAGGTGAAGAAATCTCCTTCTACATTTTCAGACTTCTAAAGTAAAATAGTTTTTTCAAGGTAAAATTTAAAATTTGACCTAAAAAATAAAATAAAGTAAAATAAAATAAAATAAAACAAAACAAAACAAAATAAAATAAAATTTGACAAAATTGTACAGTCTCCAGGCTGGCTCAGTCAGTAGAGCATGCGACTCTTGATCTCAGGGTTGGGAGTTTAAGCCCTATGATGGGCATAGATCTTACTTAAAAACAACAACTGAAACAGTGCTGCTTAAAATGCAACAAAACTTTCTCCTTAGTTCGTAGTGGCTGCCAGATTTTTCTAAGTCCTAAATATTCCACTAAAGTGAAACAGTGTCATTAAGTGATTTGATAAAGAGCAGCCCAGGAAGAGAATGGCTGTTCCCTTAGAAACAGCAGTTCATCTGTAACCGGTGAGCTCCGGCCTTGGGCAGCTCTGCCTCCTTCCGGGTCTGGGATGGAACATTCAGGCCACGGCCACGTTTATAACGCGTGACCTGCCAGGTGAGGAGGAACTCTCTTTTGAACCTATTTCCCAAAGTGCAGCGAACCAAGCGCTCTGCAGCTGAGCCCACAGGGAGAGGCCAGCTCCTTGGCAGGCAAGGCTAGAATGCCATGGGAAGTATCCGGGCAGAGCCAGCCGCGTCCCACAAAGCGGTATTGATGGGCTGCAGTTCATGCCCTCGTGCCTCCAAAGGCCGGCTGGGGCTGCTGACCAGAGGAGAGGTCTTTGTGCTGCAGGGCCTGCCCCGAGTCCCTGCCCACCACTGCCCACGCCCATCTAAGTGCCCTCCCACTTCTCAGTGACCCTGCAGGCTCCGGTGGACAAAGACTGTGTCAGGGTAACAGCGGGCGTCCCCTTTTCAGTAAGGATTCGTGCTATGTGCTACACTGCTCCCGTGCCACACTCCCCCAGATTCTCACTTGTAGGCACAAGAACACGTGTGAGGTTCATTTGTTGGCTTAGCTGGTGCTCCCTGTTACTTGGAACGTGTGAGTATTCTGCTTATGAATGTCAAGACCTGTAATTGATTGGGTTTTATTGAAGTAAGAGGGCCTCTGTCTCTTTCCTGCCTCCCTCAATTCATACGAGGCACAGTGGGCCCCATCAGTGACACTTGTCGTAGGTTGGCCAGCCCCGGACGTCTCGCAGCCTCCGCCTGAGTGCCACCTCCACTGTCCTCTGTCTTGAGTTACCCGGCTGAGTGAATGTATGTGGAAGACGTGACTGCCCTTCACACGTGGGCTGTTGTGAATCAGCTCGCTCTACTTCTTAGGGCTGGGGATTTCTGATGCCTCCTTCAAGAAGCCTTCTGGGATCCGTCTACTCAATTCCCCTTCTTCCCAGCCTCTAACAGGATTTGTACTCGCTTATAGTTCTGGCCTCATAGTTATGTGGTCCTGGAAAACACTACATGGCGGATCCCATGGGTGAAGGACGGTTTTATTCATCTTTGTCCAGTGGCACGTACAGGGCTTGGCTCTGAGTCCCAGCACACTAAAGGACTGTGGAAGTGTCACCTGCTGTGGCTGACCCAGCATCTTGCTAATAAAATTAGTTGGAACTTAAAAAAAAAACCTGCAGTTGAATAAATTGTCATTTGGCATGTGGATTACCCCAACCTCCCTCTTCTTTTCATCCTTCTTGTTGTCTCTACGTGAAAGTTCCTGAGGCTAGGCACTGTGCTTCCCTGTTTGCCTTTATCCTGAATTGGCACCTGAGAAAATTTCTAGGAAGTACTTACTGTGTGCTGTGGCCAGCTTAATGGTGTAATTCTCTCCTGCCTCTTTAGATGGTACCTGAGGAAAAGAGAGATGTGGAAATATTGTAGTGACTTTCATTTTAAAATAAAGTTATAAACGAACGAATCTAGATCCACACATCTATGTGCACATACCCACACAGGGGAAAAGGTTTTTACTTGTCAACTGAATTCTGTATTGCTTAGTTTTGAACCAAAGTCTGGCTCTGAGAAAATCTAGATTTTTAAGAATGAGCGATCCTGCTTGAAATGTGTCATCTGTTTATGGAAGATTATACCCTCCACCCATGCAAGGCTTGGGCCAGGGAAGGAATGAGATGGCAATTAGACAGGGATCCGCCGTCTCGTCCAGGAGTCTGGAGCAGGAGTGGGAAACTACTGTTGACTCTCTCGCATATAATCACAGGATTGGGAGGGATTAGCTCTCCTGCTTTGTAACTGCAGCACATAATGTCTCCGGTGCCACCGAGGTAAACAAATGAATACAGGTGTCTGTGAAATAGGATCGTCTCAAAGAGTAATTTTAATATATTTTTCAGGCTTCAGAAGATTTAAGAAAATAACGAGCATAGTGAATGATCTCCTTCCTCATTCCATTTCTTAAAGTGTAAAGCATTTTACTCTATTTCACTAGACTGACACCCTCAAGTCAGGTGCTCAGGAAAGGGCCAGGCAGTGTCCTGTCACCGGTTTTCAGTTTGTAAAGTCCTGCCTCATAACTGCTTGGATTCGGTGAGTGTCAGCTGTCTTCTAAGCTTTTTTTAGGTCTCTTTTTTTCTCCTGAAAAAACAATTCAGGGTGAACTCTCTTTAATTTTTGAGATCCAGTGAGAAGATTCTCTCGGATACGTTTTCTGCAAAGCATTGTTGGTTATTTGAGGAAGGCTTCCCCTCACATTTCTTTTAAAAATGTGCTGCTGGTATTTACTTGGACGAGAGAAGTCACTTCGAGTCCAAGAGAAAGACCCCCTGCGCCTGCACAGTTCCGGGGTCTGGCCCCAGGCCGGATCTCCCACCAAACCAGCCGGCATTACCCCCTTTCCCAGCTGCTGACTTCGCTCTTGACACAGCGTTCCAGATGGGTGTCATTTGTCCCAAAGTCTGACCAGGTCAGATCCATTCTCCCATCCAAGTACTAACCAGGCCCGACCCTGCTTAGCTTCCGAGATCAGACGAGATCGGGCGCGTTCAGGGTGGTATGGCCGTAGACCAGGTCAGATCCATTCTGATGTGCGTACGTGCACACGTCCACGCTTTATTTACAGAGCCGTACTTTTTGTTCACTGGTAATGAGTCAAACTGATGTCTTTATGCACCAGGATTAGTTCTTAGTTTCTTTTGAAATCTTCTTTCGTAGCTTGTGTTTATCAAGAAAGTGGATGAACGTGGTTTTAAAGACCATCTGTGTGATGGTCTTCAGGGGATTGGTGACTTGGGGTTTTGGGGGGAACGGTACGTCCTGAGGAGAATCATCTCTGGGAACAACTCAGGTTCAGTAAAGCTTTGAAAGGTGTGTGCGTGAGACAGCGGACCTTCCCTTCCCGCGTTTCCAGGCCGCAGGTAGGCGGCGGGCACAGCCGGGCGCCCGCCTGCAGGCGAATGCAGCCTGCGGGCAACACGGCCGGAGGATCTGTCTGTAGGCCGTTCGGTCAAACCTGCCGTGTCTCTCTCACCCTTCAGACTCGCTGTCCGTCTCCAGTAACGATGCCAGCCCGCCCGCCTCCGTGGCCTCTCTCCAGCCCCACATGATGGGGGCCCAGAGCTCCCCGGGCCCCAAACGCCCGGGCAACACGCTGCGCAAGTGGCTGACGAGCCCGGTGCGACGGCTGAGCAGCGGCAAGGCCGACGGGCACGTGAAGAAGCTAGCGCACAAGCACAAGAAGAGCCGGGAGGTCCGCAAGAGCGCCGATGCCGGCTCGCAGAAGGACTCGGACGACAGCGCAGCCACCCCGCAGGACGAGACGGTGGAAGAGGTCAGAGCCCCCCGGCCTTTCCCCTGGAGTCGTGGGGATGCTCGTTTGTCGTGGGAACACGCTCCTTCGGTTCCCTTTCCCGTGGGTCCCTGTGACTGTCAGCTCGGTCCATCCCCCTTTAGCAGACTGGATTCGGTGGGGACAGGCGGGCCCTGGCAGCTCCGTGTTGACCTGGTCGGGACCCACGGTGGCTCCCGAGAAGGAGCGCAGGGTTCCGAGCGTCCCCCCAGGCCTGCTCCAGCGGGAAGCAGGCGCCCTGCTGGCCCAGCCCGCCTGGCCCCACTGCCACAGACAAGCCGGGAGGTGCCGCTCAAGCTGCGAAGGTGCAGGCCGTCCCTGAGCTCGGCCTAGACCACGGCCGCAGCATTGCGCAGGCAGGGCCCCAGCTTCAGACGTGCAGGGGCCAGAGGGGTGTGGGTGTCCTCAGTTCATGCTTAACATCTGTCCTCCCCAGCCGACACAGGGCGAGCTTACTTTGCTAACCAGTAAACACTGGATCGTTCCCACGTCATTACAGATACACGGGTATCTGCCAGCCGGGAATTTGTCTAAGTTCCCTTTTCATTCAGGGGTGGGAGCTTTAAATTACACCGCAAGGAACAGAATCCCTTCGTGACCCCCAGGCTAGGCTGTCGGGCTGGTGGTGGCAGTGAGGGGCCCTCAGAGTTTTTAACTGAGGCCCGCCACCCCCAGCCCCACCCAGCTCCCTCAAAAAAAAGAAAAAGGCAGACAGGATAAGATTTGTATCGTTTAATTTGTTTTGCAGACATGGGTTTTCTGCTGCTTTTTTCCTGGGCATGTTCTGCCCTGGGTTTTCACTGCAGTAATGTGGTTTATTATGTCCTCATCTGTCTGTTTTCTACATCTGTGTAGAAATAAAACTGACAACTTTTCTAAAAGTGAAAGCCGAGTAAAAGTAATGTGAGACTAAATTCAGATTCTTCCCGAGCATTTTGAACTGTATTAGTCTTCATGCCATTATAGTTTCAGTGAATTTTATTCTAGCAAGTTATCAGAAACAAAATGGAAGTAGACGAGAGAAACCGAATGAGAGTTATTAAGGGTTCAGGCTTTTGAACTGGTCCCCGGGGAGGGGGTGGTGGTGGACGACGAGATGTGTTCAAAGCCTAACGGATAATGTTGGTGGTCTCTTCAGAAGTCACGCGCGGGGGCCCTTCTCCGGTCCGAGTCTGCAAGCAAGGTAGCTGGTGTGCAGAAAGGAATGAGCAGTTCCCATCGGGGGTGGAAAGAGCTTGCTCCTGATTTCTGTCCCCTCCGTTCCTGTGCCGGCCACACTTCCCCCAGTTCACCCTTTAGGGCTCTGTCTGTGACCTGATGTTGACAGTCGGGCCTGGAACGTGACGCGCGGACGCTGGTTTGATTTCAGAGGGGCCGGAACGAGGGCCTGAGCAGCGGCACACTCTCGAAGTCCTCCTCGTCGGGCATGCAGAGCTGCGGGGAGGAGGAAGGGGAGGAGGGCGCCGACGCCGTGCCCCTCCCCCCGCCCATGGCCATCCAACAGCACAGCCTGCTGCAGCCGGATTCACAGGACGACAAGGTACGGGCCCCGCCACCTAGCACCAGCGTCACAGCAGGGCTGAGGACAGGCGGCGGGAAGCTGTGCGGCCTGTTTTCACCCCACACGTAGGAATACCAGAGTCAGTTTAGAGCAAGCAGTGGGCCAGCACGTGTCGTTTCTCCTACAGACACAGTCACTGCATTTTTAATAATGCTTCAGTAAGTGCTGCCTCTACAGTGACTTTATTTTCTTTTTACCGTACTGACCAGTGTCCCTGAGACAGGAGTCAGAGAAATCTCACGCAATCTTGGGGTCGCAGCCCTGAATGAACACTAGGCCATCTTGCTCTCTCTGCTAGGTGTTTTTGCACACGGGCGTTGTTTCCAGATGACGTGGTGCTGCTGTCCAGTTGGTCTCTCCGGCATGCCTGCCGTTAGTGCCAAGGGTCACCTGGGGTGCAGGGATAGGTGCCAGGGTCTAGGAATCGGTTCACAACCATGAGTCTCCTCTTCAGGTGTATGTGGAGGCTTCAAACCAATCTTGGGTTTTTGTTTGTTTGGTCAGTTCTTACCTGATCTATGACAACTTTGTGCATCCAGGTGTAGAGCCCTAAAGTATCAAAATGGAAAGCTGGTAACTGGCTTGTACGTCCCCTTACGTTCTGGCCCCGGTGTGCTTCCCAAAACTGGCAGGTGTTGAAAACCATGCTATGAAGTCATCACCGGAGACCTTTTCTTTTTTGGCAGTAACGAAGTTTTCTGAGTAAAACAGATGTTTTCATCATTTTCCCCCATTCTTCCTCTTTTTCCTTCCCTGACTCCCTCCTCCATGCTAACACGGTCATTTGCTGGACTGCCTGTGTTTTATGATCTGGACCGTGCCCCGGCCCCGTGACCGACACGTGTGAGGCCGAGGCCGACTACGCAGTCGTAGCCTGGGCAGCCATCTCCCGCCTCCTCCCGCTTTGTGGCTCGGAGCGCGCGGTCAGGGCGCTGCGGGTCTTGGCTGAGGACGTGGCTTGGGTTGGAGTCTGGCGTTTGGGGGCATCTGAGGTGCTGGCCGCGTGCTGCGGGCAGCTGAGGGGAGGTGACAGAGGACCTCGCCCCCTGCACAGAGTAGCCTCGGCAGGAAATGGGAATGCGTCACTTCTCAGACGATTCCTAAACTGCTTTGTGGCATTCGAAGCGATAACCTTCTTTTAAAGCACAGAACTGACATTTCTCAAATCTGATGGTTAGCCAAAGTGAGGTGGAGGGCCTGGTTGACTTGTTCCCCCAAGAAGAGTGTTTTTCTCCATCTGGAGAGTGGATTGCACAGTGTACTTTGGTTTGCTAGAATCACGTATCAGTTGCTGCGTTACCTCATTGGGTTTTATCAGTAGCAGCTCTTCATTTGCAAAAGTCTGTAGTGATATTCCCAGCGAGTATATTACCTTGTGACTAATATTTTGTTTTGTTCTGTTTTCTCTTTTTGTAAACTTTCACTGCAGCATTATGTTGATTTGTGTTCTGTGTCTGTTTTGGCTCAGTTTCCTTACCTCTCCATTTGAATTTTTTTCTTCGTTTTCTTCACCCCATACTCCAGATTTCATTAGACCAAACCAACATTTGTTTTGCAAAGCGCATACATGGATCCACATATGTAAAAGCCTTGTTGTGAATGTACAAACCCATATCTGTCTACTGTGAGAAATGCATCGTTAGGACAGCTAGCCGTGTGTCGCATGCTTCTCTGCTGTCCTTAATATGAAGCAAGGTTCATATTATGCCCTCTTCTAGTCTCCAGTTAATCGATGGCACGAGTAATCTGCAAACACGCCGTGTTTGCTAATTACTGAAACTTGAATTCAGTAGTCCCTCCCTGAAATTCCTTAACTGTCACCCCCTGTACACCCTGATTCTAGCCGTAAACGGCATCTGGTAGCTTGTGAGGCCACAGATCTTCTGTACTCTGCACTAATCATTGGGGAAATGGATGGCACAGAAAATGGTGAGCTCGTCCCCCTCTGCCCTGTCTGGTCAGTGCACCCTGGTTCCTTTCCTTTTCTTTCTTGTTTCTTTCTTTTAACCCCATAAACACAGGAAAGCCATTTTTAGTATCCTGTTTTGTTTTCCGGGTTGTTTAAGGATTCACTCATTAGAACTTAAGCCTTTCATTCTTCCGTTGATCAGATTCCGTCCTTTTTTTCCTGCTTAGCCACTAGCCTTGCTGGTAGTTGCCAAAGTTATCGTAAGAATCTCCCCGTGCCCGGTCACCTCTTTTGAAAAACATTATGATGTTACATGACTGAGGATTAAAAAACAGACTTTGTCTGCTTTCCACATGTATCCCAGACAGGTTTTATTTAATATTTCATGTCAGAATATTGTAAATTTAAAAGGATGACTTTAAATAAATGCAAACAAAGACAAACTTGTGGTCTTTTTGTCTGGACTTACTTTGAAAAAGAGCTTGAGCTTGCAGGAGAATTTACTGTCTGTCCGGTGACTAACGTGAGGCATTCCCCCTCCCCCCTTTCTTTTTCTTAACTTCTTCCGTAGGCCTCTTCCCGGTTATTAGTCCGGCCCACCAGCTCCGAAACGCCAAGTGCGGCCGAGCTCGTGAGTGCGATTGAAGAACTCGTGAAGAGCAAGATGGTAAGGTTTCCCAGACAGAGCGAGCCTGAGCTTTGGAAACCGCTCTCGGGGCTGCTGAATGTGCTTGGGGCGTGTTACACAGGTGGAGACCCCAAGGCCACCCTCCCTTCTGACCACCCTGCCAGTTTGGGGGTCCCCAACATCACCCTCAGGTTCAGTCATTGGCTTGGACGACTTCCAGAACTCAGAGAAGGCGTTGTGCCCGCATTTGTGGTTTATACTGTGAAAGGACATATTCAAGTCAGCCAGGGAGGAGGTGACACGGGGCAGGGTGCAGCTGTGGTTCAGGGTTCAGGCTTCCAGCCGTCCCCTCCCGGTAGGGTCATGCAGAGTGCTGACGTCTCCTGTCCTGACAGTGGTGTCTGACATCATTGCATGTCACACACGGGAGAGTCTGGCCAGCCAGGGATGCTAACCCGAGCCCTGGTGTTCAGAGTGTTTATTTGAGCTCAGTCATGGACGCAAGACTGACTGCTTGCGTGGCTCCCCTTTGTCCCCTGCCCCTCCAGAAAGCAGGACCCCACGTGGCCCAAAGCCCCCAGCAAGAGTCATACCGTTGGCATAGACGCTCTGTCTTGGCCCGAGGCCCCTCTGTAAACAAACATTCCTGTCAAGAAAGATATCCCAGGAGATTGGAGGTGCCTCCCAGGAGCCAAGATTATAATCCATTCCTGCACCCTCACTGATAGCAGTGCTAACACCATTACAGCTGTGGTCGGGTCGGCTCCACTCGTCCACGGTGTGCCCAGGCTCAGTGGTACCCACAGATAGGTTGACAGTTTCTTTTGCTGTCTCTGAGGTCTTTCTTCCGGATTTACAGTGTACAGGAGAGAAAAGCTTGCATTATTATGTAAGGGCTTTATTTTCTGAGTGACCTCTGCATTTCCAGTTGGTCAACATGGATTTGTTTAATAAAAGCCCCAAAGTCAACAATACTGATTTGAAGTTAGATAGGTGTACATTGCTTCTAACTGATTCAAAGCAATTCTGTGTTTCTTCAGTTTTCCTATGAGATGGAAAAACCATTATTGGCAACAACATTTACATTACTATATCCTACAACTCCCGTAAAGTGACTTAACATCATTTAAACGTCACCTCTCTGAAAATAAAAGCCCCCAGCCTCTCTTACCAGTCCATCTTCCAGAGGTAACCACTGTGATCAGTTTGGTAGATTTCCCTGCAGATGTTTTCTCGGCAGGTGCACACATATGCGGGGAGGTGAGAGGGACAGGATGCTTGTGCCTGCTCTTTCTTTCAGAGTGGATTTGTGGAGTTTTTAAGATTTTGAGACTTGGTATATCTTGAGGATCTTCTCACATCAGTACATACAGATTTACTTCATTTTTTGTACTGGCTGCATAGTAGTCCACTGTATCGATGGCAGTGATCATCTCGTGAGGGCTTACTCTAACCCAGGCCCCATTCTAAGTGCTGAGCATGTATTAACATATTGGAAGTCCAAGGAGGTAGGTACACACTATTGTCATTTTATTTTACACATGAAAAAACTAAAGCCACAGAGTTTAAAAACTTAACCAGCCACGAAGGAGCAGAGACCTCATTATGCTATAATTTATTTAAATACATCCCTAGTAATAATACATACGTGTGTATGTGTGTGTGTATAAAGTTTTCAGTTTTGCACTACTGTAAACACCCATGTTGGCTATGTGTGCGTGGTTGTGTCTGTAGGGTAGATTTTCAACGTTGGAGTTGCCAGATCAAAGAGTATACTTTTTAAGTTTAGACATTTATCTTCCTTCCATCAGGTATTAACTGGGTAATGTTAGATCATTCCCATTTCTTCTACCCCGAGACAGCTTCTAATCAATCATCTGATCATTCTAATCATCAGAGACTACAAAAGAAACTGTCAACCTATCTCTGCTACCACTGACCCTCAGCACACCTTCAGACACTTCCAAACTAATGAGACTGTGGTTGACTCAGTCAAGTGGGGATTCTGTCAAGAAAAACTCCAGACTGTCTCACTCCACCATCACTGGAATTTCTTCTCAGGCAGTCATGTTCTGAAAGTGACATGATGGGCTTGGAAGTTACGAAGGTTGCTAGTACTTGGTAGACAACCCAAGAACTTGACCCCACTGGTCAAGAATTTGGGATCATTGCAGTTTGAACTGCGCTAAAGCACATCCTGGCTGTCTCTTTGAGACAACTCGATTGATGGTCTAAACAAAGGGTACTTAAGTTGTACCCAGTGAGCTTTCAAACACCCTTAAACATTTTTACAACATTTATACTCCTCAGTTATATGATCATTAAAATTATTCTTGTCTAATAATTGAAATAGTTTTCCCAAGCAATGCTCTGAGGCAACTCTTTGTCACCCTGCCAGGCCATCATTGTGCAAGTACTGACATCGCATTCCATTTTAAGTGGACAGAGATTGGTTTCTGATTAATTCAGATGCGCTTCCAATGCAGAGGAGTTCTACGACACGGTTTCGTTCAGCTCTTACTGCTTTATTCCTTATTCTCAGTTTTAAGGCATTGAACTTTACCGGTCGAAACTAAGTTCTTTCTACTCACTTACGTTTCTCCTTCAGTTAACAGGCCTAAAGCTCTTGGCGTCGTGGAAAGGGCGTAGGTTTTGGAGTCAGGTAGACTTGTGTTCAAACACTGCTGCTTACGCTTAGGCTCTCTGAGCCTGTGTCTTTTAGCTCTACGCTCGGTACAAGTGCTGTTTGCTGCTACGCTGCTAGCAAGGTCCCATCCACATGGGCAGAGTCACTAATGCCTGCCCTTTCCCTGGTGGAAGGACCGTATTTATGCTGTTTGGGATGGACTCGCCCCCTCTTCATTGTCCATGGAATGTAATCTAGATCCTGCCCTCTTTTTCTGACTCAAGGGACACATTGCTGTGTGTTGATTTCCTGTCACTAATCCTCTGATGTCAAACGAGAACTGCTTTTTGTCAATGAAAACTCTGAATCATGTTAATACCCTTTAGCCTGCCCTCTCACGTGACCCTGAGCTCCCCCTGCACACTTATCACGTGCCAGAGATGCATAGTCATCTGCCCCTGTTTTCTTATGGGTGGCCTCTCAGGCTGTAGCGCCTTGGTAGTAGAATTTGCACACTGAATCAGTTACCCTTCAAAAGCTACATGTTAGCTTAACTGGACTGGGAAGAAGCTGTTCAGCTCTTGTGCAGCGTGACGTTCAGGCACCTGAACTTAACCCTAAAACCTGCGGAGTCTGTTGGAAAAATAAAAACTACCCTGAAAACTATTTCCTGGGATTTCGGCCTCTCTCTCATCCCCACATTCCTGATCCTACCAGGACTTGGAAGAGGATGCGTCTTGCCTGCACGTCATTGGCAGTAAGGCAGCAGTGGCCAACAGCCACAGCGACTGTTTGAACTTGACCCTGGGGTTTTCTTTTCTTCGTCGATTGAAATATAAAGGGAGATCTGAGAAAGAATGAAAATAAGTGAAATAAACATCTACCTCAAGAATACTAGAAGAGCAAGAGAAATTAATGAGTTGGAAAACAGAAAAACAGTAGAATAAATAAAACCAAAAACGTGTTCTTTCAAGAAGTAATAAACATCAGGGGCGCCTGGGTGGCGCAGTCGGTTAAGCGTCCGACTTCAGCCAGGTCACGATCTCGCGGTCTGTGAGTTTGAGCCCCGCGTCGGGCTCTGGGCTGATGGCTCAGAGCCTGGAGCCTGCTTCCGATTCTGTGTTTCCCTCTCTCTCTGACCCTCCCCTGTTCATGCTCTGTCTCTCTCTGTCCCAAAAATAAATAAACGTTGAAAAAAAAAATTAAAAAAAAAAAAAAAGAAGTAATAAACATCAGATAACCTTCTTAAGAAAATACAGAGGAGGCACAAATCCACAAAACATGGAATTATATGGAAGTGGCAAACTAAGGAAATTAAAATAACCGTAACACCTTCTGTTAAGCTCTTTGAAAGTAAATTTCACAACCTGGAAATTTATCAAAACTAACCTTAGAGGAGATGGATTGTCTGTGCAGACCTGCCTGCATCTAAGGAACAGAGGGAACCTGCCCATAATACACCACCAAACCCGTAGTGCTTCGCAGATAGGTAATCCATCCGACTCTGTGACGTCCCAGGAGTTTCAATCCCGTGGTGGCCTTTCCCTGGTCATGCCGCCTGTGTGAGAACCGGCGGGCAGGAACACCAAACCACCATCGCGTCCGCCGGGGCGTCTGCACCCTCTCCGGCTGCCCAGCTGGGTTCATGCCCGGCACCTCTGTCCTTTGGGGTCCAGACAGCCGCTCCTCCAGCCGGAGACCAGAGCTTCACAGACCCCAGTGAAGCACCCTGCTTGCAGCTCTGTTTGAAGGGACATCTACAGACATCTTCTTGGTTTTCTTTATTTTTTATCACCATTGAAAGGAGCAGAATTGAATCCAACGAGCATCAGCTGTTTCCTTGCAGGCCTAGACGGGAGACAGTGCGAAGCACCCCGTTCTCCTCCAGACCCCTGTCGCCGTGATCCATGAGCACAGAGCAAGGCCCTGCTATTTCCCGTAGAGTGCTGGCTTCCAGTAAAGGTCAATAACTATTTACTTAAAAATAAGAGTGCTGTTTTCTCATCAAGCCCCGTTCCTTGACGGTTTATCACAAATAAGCACAGCAGTTGGTGTGTTTCCACAGCTCCGTGGGTTTGGTGAACAAAATTACATGGACTGACTTTGTGTCCTTAGAGCTGTGCTTAGTGACAAAGCCTGCACTGGTCTGCTACCCTCAAGGGGAGAAAATTGGACGAGCATTGGAGGTTTTGATTTGATAGGAAATATTAAGTGTCCTGAAGTTTGTTTTGAACTTTTCGTTTGAAGATAAGCTAATCACACTTTCCCAGTTCAGTTGGTAAACTGCCCCTTGATCGTCTCTGCATCTCCAGCTGGGTGCTTTGGAAATTTTAAAAGAACCGTAACCCATACCCCTAGGAGCTTTAGGAATTCAGGGTAAGAAGCACAGTTAATATGTACCAGCGAGAAAGCAAACAGCCGCTAATCGTTGTCACATTAATCCAGGGGCAGAAGTCCACTTCCGAGTCAGATGTGTTGACCACACCGCAGAGCTCTGTTCGAGGTTCCGCAGGGCATACGACACTGAAAACAGTCACTCGTGAAAACCAAAATCCAGTGGGGAGTGAGAGTCTAGGATGCGTCATCAAGACAGCATGACGGCTGCTGCTGCCCAAGAGGAGGGAGGTCGCAAGTGTCCAGAAACAGAGATCCGTTTCACTGGGCGATCTGTGTGCACTGACGCGGGAGTCAAGGCTTCGTGGATAATGAAGAAACAAAGCCCACGTTCTTTAACGCAGAACGCCGACGTTGCCATGTAGCCACCACTGAGGGACCCCGGTGATGTGCCTGGGGTCGGCTGGCCTGACGGAGGAGGTTCCCCGCACTGGACAGGAATATAACCGAGAAGAAAATGGCTACGTTCGAAATTCGTGATACGTCCAGAGATGGGTGCAATGCTCTGCTGTACACAAGTTGTATCATTTCTAATTATTTGGTGACAAAGAATAGAATGTATTAATGCATATAAATTCACTGTCCTCTTTGTTCTGACTTATCTACCCAGCTCCTCTTGCTCCATATTGGTATTAATAGTGGGGGGTTTTGTTACCAAATACCGTGTAATATCACAAATGTGGATCTTCTCATTTTATAGTCCGGCTTTCTGTATTTTCTGGTTTATGAGATTTTCCGATCCTAATTTCAGCCTCGTGGACTGTAGGCTGGAAACATGACTGGTGGTCTGGTTTTCTTTCAGGCTCTGGAGGACCGGCCCAGCTCACTCCTTGTTGACCAGGGAGACAGTAGCAGCCCCTCCTTCAACCCTTCCGACAACTCCCTTCTCTCCTCCTCTTCGCCCATTGATGAGATGGAGGAAAGGAAATCCAGCTCCTTAAAGAGACGGCAGTAAGAGATGTTTCCAGTGTCACTGTCGGCTGTGCTCTGGTCTTCGTCGCCTTCAAAAATGTGACTGGGGTTCATCTCTGAATCAGGGCAACCAGGAGATCCAGGGTCTCTCTTGGAATAATTGTGTATATGTTTGAAATTCTCTCAGAACCTCTTAAGGGTGCAGTAAGCCTTAGCTGCAGGTGTTTGTGGTTTGTTTGTTTGTTTGTTTTTCTTAGAGTTTGGAAAAATGTTTGTTCGTTTGTTTTATAAGCTGTATGCCCAGCGTCAGGCTTGAGCTCACAACCCCAAGGTTAAGAGTCACACATTCTTCCAACTGAGCCAGCCAGGTGCCCCTGTAGCTCTATTTTTTGTTATTTGCATGTTGTACTTTATTTATAAATGATACATGCATGTCTCCTGTCACTTCTAGGGGGGAAAGTGCTGTGCTTTCTATCATATGTATAGTTGTGAAGGAAAAGAAAGCAACATAAAATCAGATGTAATTTGATTCAAAACACTTGAATATTTTTCAAACACACCTTCCTGATAGCGTCTCAGTTCCAGTAAAGCTGCTTACGGTAAAGAGTCCTGAAAAACATTACAAAAGGTTTAAACTTGCCTTTGGAGAAGAGGGAAAACTTGTATGCTGCGTGAGGGCAGATACTGGATTTTATTGAGTGCTCTCTCCCAGCAGTCTGTATCTGGTACGAGATGCCCACTCAGTGCTGGTCGAATGAACAGACCAACAGACCTTTTCAAGGCCGGCCGAGGTGGTTTGCTTTTCAGAGCAACCGATTGTCTCCTCTTATCGGAGAGGCCTTAAACAGTTATGAGTGGTCAGACCCAAGGCTTTAAATATCTGAGTTAAAATTTTTTCTTACATGTCCAGTGAAGCTTAAAATAATTGTTTCAAAACAAAACAAACTTGCTTCCTTTAACGTTGTGCCTTTATGACAAATTTATGTCTAAGCCTCTCTTTATTGTCTGTATATGTGATTAGAGTCCACAGCTGTCATGGTTCATGTACATGAACCTGTAAGTGATTTGGGACATTCAAGAATTAGAGACCCAATTGTGTAAATTTGATACATTACAGATCCAGTCCCAGCAGGAGTCTGACCTGACAAAAGCAAAGTGCTAAAGAATTCATTTAGAAAATGAAGAGTTGGGGTCCTAACACTCGTTTTTCTCTCTCTTTCCAGCTATGTTTTGCAAGAACTAGTGGAGACAGAGCGTGACTATGTGCGGGACCTCGGCTGTGTGGTTGAGGTCTGTGTTTTCAGAGATTTAATGACCTATATCAGACACCAAGAGTTGTCAAGGGAGTATCAAACATGTACACCAATAACTTCTCAAAAACTTTAAAAACATTTGACACCCCCTCCCGCCAAGAAAACTAAGTTTGTGAAAAGTGAAATTTAGCCAATTATCTTAATCTGTATTCACCTTTAAATGCTTTTTTCACATAACGCATCTTTGACATGGTCATCTTTTTTTACAGTTAAGTTTTTAAATTATTTCAGCCAACCACTGCGTTTATTTTTGGGGATCTTGCCCTTAATGATTTACAAAAGTGGATATCCCTGCAGAAACAGGAGAGCGTCAGTGGTGGAAAAAGTCAGCGTGGCCAGCTGTGGCTTCAGATCCACCCTGGGTCCACCTGGGTTCGGGGCTGCTCTGTCACAGCACTAGGCCACCTACTTACACTTTTCACGGAAGAAATGCAGCACTAGCGGCATTGCCCAGAAGTTGCTGTGCACTGTGGAGCCATGACAAAACTAGTGCCATCCACACTGGATCGAGGCCATCTCCAGGCTCATCCCTGGCATTGAAGTTCAGGGCATAATCATATTTGTAAACTCAACTCAGCAGAAAGCTGTTTTTATACCATAAGATACTACTGTTCTTTCAGCTTTGTAAATATATCTAGGTTGATACTTTTTGGGTGTTCATTCCATTAAAAGTAACGGCTTTTACAGTTAATTTTGTAACCAAAGATGTAGCAAGCTCGATGTGTCTGCCTGCGGTTATTGTTAACAGTAAAATAAGTTGAATTTCTTAAGAGATTCCGGTCAAGGCTGAATCCCATTCAAGTTAAATGGAAGTTGTAAGCCACATTTTAGCAACATATTTAATCAACTGCTGTTAAAAAAATCAATTTATGAAAGGAATGTTGTTAAATTCTCATTTAACGAAGTATGTAGATAATCCAAAAAGAAAAGGAAATCTGTTTATATTATGCTGAGAACAGAGGAGATATGTTTTTGGCCAAATAGTTAATGTTTACAAGCTGATAAGATGATTTGTTTTTGTGAAACCATTTACATTTAAATGTCTTCAGTTCCTTAGAAGAATTTGGATCTATTAATTCCCAATAGTTCAAGGAGAGAAAATCTTGGCATGGCATATGACCGTACATGTGGTGCCAGTGAAAGACACTTTTCATATAGGATTTTTGCTTGTTTTTAAACGAAGAAAGGGTTGTGAGGCGTTGCAGATGTCTGTTTTGTTCTTTATGAGCGTTGATCCATAAATCATTATCTGACTCCAATACGTTCACTGAAACAAACTTATTTGTAAATGCTCACAGGGCTACATGGCTCTCATGAAAGAAGATGGTGTTCCTGATGACATGAAAGGGAAGGACAAGATTGTATTTGGCAACATCCATCAGATTTATGACTGGCACAGAGAGTACGTAAAATACATGCCATGCCTGACGGTGCACACCCAGCGTCCTCCCTTGCTAAACTGCATCGTGTCAGGCAGATGGTAACGGGTGTTTACCGGTTCGCTTCCTTTTATCACCTGTAACCTCGTGGAGGTAGCTGGTGCAAAGGAAATACAATGTGCCAAGGAGTTTTGTGGTAGCATCTCGTGGCCAGGGGAAGAGTCTCTTCTGTGTGCTGGTCCATCCGGGAAGCCCGCCTGGGGGTGGCTGGCCTGACTGCCTGAGTTCAGAACCTAGTCCTGACCTTGAGCCATTTGCTTCCCTTCCCTGTCTCCGGCCTTCATCTGCACAATGCAGTTCATAGTCTTACCATCCACCGCACGGGGTTTTTGGTGAAGGGAGACTGAGGTAACATATGTAAAGTGCTCAGAATAACATCTATGTAGAGTAAGCTTCAGTAAAATTTCCAGTTAGAATTGCAGCCATCTGTTGAATAATTACAAATTATTTTAGAGGGCTTTCAAGATACTGTTTTTTCCAAGAATTTTAATGGAAAAAGTAGACCTACCTGCACACGAAAATCAGATTTGAGCCCCAATACATGGTTGAACCCGTCCTCATCAGGAGGAGATCCACATGGGGGCTGGTACCACAATACATTTGCCCCTTCAGGTCACCTTACTGCTGCTTTTTTTAAGTTTATTTTATCTATTTTGAGAGAAAGAGAGTGAGAGTGAGCAAGCACGAGCAGGGGAGGGACAGGGAGAGGGAGAGTCCCAAGCAGACTCCAAGCTGTCAGCACAGAGCCCGACATGGGGCTCATGCCACAAACCATGAGATCGTGACCTGAGCCGAAGAGTTGGATGCTTAACCGACTGAGCCACCCAGACGCCCCACCTTACTCCTAATTTTAAAAATCCTTAACCATTTGCGGATTGCTTAATGCCAGCCGTTGATATTGTCGTGGGATGTTCCAGCTGCACTGTTCTGTTCCCATGACCTAGACTGGCCACCTGCTTTCCTGTTTTTATGTGCACTCCTGTCCTCTCAGCCTAGAACACGTTCCCATCACTTTCGAAGCCCAGGTCAAATGATCACTGTCAATTAGACGCGCTCCCTCCTCTTTGCAGATAGCATACATAAATGTGCTTTTTAAACTGTAAAATCCTATGCAGATACAAGGAGGGGTTATCGTGGTAGGTGTATCAAGTAGTGTTTTATTACTTCTAAATGTATCTGTCCTAATAGAGTGTAAAGCCTTTGAACCCAGGTACAGGGTCACCATTTTCCTATTACCCCATAGTATCTAACTCAGTTGGACTCCTAAATACAGAATGGTCAACTTCAGACACGGCGTAATTCAGAGACTTCCCAAGAAACTACAGCGAATCTAAGTGTAAGAAGGGATCTTTGGTGCCACTCTCTAGTCTGCCACTTCCAGGTCTGGTTCGGAAGCTGTGACGGGAGGGGAAAACGGCACAGTGCTCCTGGGACGACCACCTGGAGGTGGGGCCTGCCACAGGGTGCAGAGCTGTCTTAAAACCCCAAGTGCTAGAAACTTCCACATAGCATTCATTGATGTGCTGGTTTGCGGGTTAATAAAATACCAAACAGGGCGCCTGGGTGGCTCAGTCGGTTAAGCATCCGACTTTGGCTCAGGTCGTGAGGTCACGGTTTGTGGGTTTGAGCCCCACATTGGACTCTGTGCAATCAGCACAGAGCCTGCTTGGGGTTCTCTTCCTCTCTCTCCGCTCCCCCCCACACGCTCTATCTCTCTATATATCTCAAAATAAATTTTTTAAAAAACCTTAAGTAAAAAAATAAAATAGCACACATAAATATCAGCGTGGGTAAGTGATCACTAAGGTGGGCAGATGTCTTAAAGTCAGCTGTGGCCCAGAAGGGAGAAAGAGCGACTGTGCACAGCTCTTCTGTTTCTGTGCTTACACCTGATTTCTGTCTTAATGGGAGCTAATACTCCTAACCTAGAGGCTAATTTGGATAGTATTTAAGAAAACTTTATAAAACTGACACAGGTAACATATTCAGTATTTTACGTCTATTCTTCCCCAATCTGAGCTCCCTAAAAATTATCATAGAATGAATATGAATCTCAAGTTTTCAGAAATAAAAACAAGCAATCATCTTGGAAACCTTTATTTTTTTCTCAGTATTCGGCCATGATACATATTTGCTTGTGTCCTTAAGAAAAATGAGACAAAAAATGTGGATTGTCCAAGAGAAGGAAAGGTTGCCGGTCATGGGATGGTCTCATTCTGCCTTGTCTTTTTTAATTGTGTGTCTCTTGTGGTTTCTGTCCTAACAAAATGTTTTTTGTGCACATTACATTTCTTAAGTGCATACCTTACATTTTCCAGTTGATTGTGTCAAAACAGACTATTTTGAAATCTAAACCTCAGTCTAAAATCAGAAGGCCAGGGGCACGTGGGTGGCTCAGTCGGTTGGGCGTCCGACTCCATCTCAGGTCATGATCTCTCACAGCTTGTGAGTTCGAGCCCCACATCGGGCTCTGTGCTGACAGTTCAGAGCCTGGAGCCTGCTTCAGATTCTGTGCCTTCTTCTCTCTGTGTCCCTCCCCTGCTTGTACTCTGTGCCTCTCTCTCTCCCTCTCTCTCAAAAATAAATAAGTAAATATTTTAAACATTTTTTTTAAATAAATAAAAATAAAATCAGAAGGCCAAATTGGAAATGGCTCTAATATTTCTCTTCTCATTTCAGCTTTTTTTTAGGAGAGTTGGAGAAGTGCCTTGAAGATCCAGAAAAACTAGGATCCCTTTTTGTTAAACATGTCAGTACAATAACATTATTTATGTTCTGTTCTGATATGGTCATGCTTAGTAACTGATTTTTCAGATTAAAGGAGAACTCACTGGTAGTTTACAAAAGGTCTTCTGTTGAGAATAAAATCAAACCGTGCAGTGTCAGCGAATTGGAATTAAGCCCCCCTCTTGGACACAAATGACCTGCTTTCCTGGTCACCAAGCCCCAGCTGGCTGTTTAGCTCAGGGCAGTACAGAGTGGCCAGGAGGACCAGAGGCAGACCTGAAGCAGAACATCTGGGGATGTCTGTCTGTGGACAGACACGTGTTTAGTGAAGAGGGGATGTACCTAAACAGACAGGAGGTTTCGCATAGGAGCCAAATATATGTGCAGATCTGAAATATGTTAACGTTAAAGGTCTCTTTAGGAAATTCTTCCGTAAAAAAAAAAAAATTAGTGATAAGAGTTTTGGCATTTTTTGCAAACCTCTTGAATGTCTGCCTTAACAGAAAACAGATGGATTTTTTTTTTTTATATCTACTTCTACATTCATTCTATTGTGGAATTTTTTGTGGTTAAAATATATGAAAAAAAAATCCGTCCTCATACAGATCGAGCTGGAAAGGTACAAGTATTTTGATACTCTTTTCAGAAAATTATGGCTAGTTTTCTGAGATGTTACACCAAAACTCGAACAAGTGATAATATCATAAAGCTTAGCTACCATGTAGAATCGGACAAGCCCTTGCTGGACTTCTCCCTTGCTGTTACACTAGAAGCCATGGAGGCAGCTCGCATTTACAGGCTTTCACCCTCACACCAGCTTGTGAGATCATGCATTGGTCAGTTGGAAAATACTGGTCAGTTCACCAGGTTAGATCTTCCAGACGCTGAGACATTTTGTTATACAGTATCAAAAAGTCAGAATTGTTCATGTCACCACCCCTCTTTCTAGACCAGTCTTTAGGTGTTGTCGAGAAAACAGTGGCATGTGTGGGTTTTCCACAGTTCTCTACCTTGACAGCTCAGAGTTTTATTATTAACAGATACTGCCAGTTTGCCTTGGAACGACACGCTTCTTTTGTTCATGTTCCAGAAAATGTCTGCCAGATACCCAAGTATAAGTAATTACATTTTGTGTCCATCCTCTCTCAAGTAAAAATGGCAGTCCTCAAAAACCAACAGTTAATTTAGCCCCCAGCTCAGTGCCACAAATGGTTTTGCTTGAGACAACCCATCATATGCACCAGAAGTGTTACGAGGGAGGACCTCTGTTTTGTCACAAGAACATTAAAAAGATATATACTCCATGGCTGAGTTTAAAGAAAATGGACTTTTATTACTGAATCCGGGACATTCTGAGGTAAAACCGGCAGTCTTCTTGCCAATGTGGGGGGGTGAATATTTGCCAAGATGCCAGCTGGTTTTACACATCAGCACGAAGAAAAGGGTAAATGACATCTTAGTATTAGTTGGAAAATACTTTTGACCCTCTGGATCCCCTGAAAGGCCACAGGGGCCCCCAGAGCTCTGCACACCACACTTTGAGCATCACCGGATTGAGGGATGGCTTGCTGGGTACCTGTCTCCCTGCCTTCAGCGTTTGAGATTAAAGAGGCTTTTCTTGTGTGCTAAAACCAACACTTCCCAAGACCACTGGGCCATTTGGAGGGGCGACAGTCATTCTTCATTTGAAACCAAGAACCCCGTCCTCTTGTTGCCCCTGGTTGCTATTTGCCGGGTAAAGTGAGGGGTCTGAAATACCTAAGAGGGCGATGAGGACAGACTGCTTTGGGGGCTACAAAGCAGAATGCTACCCTAGTCATGTATCTGGAATGTGCTCCCACGGGCCTGAACCACGGTTTTAAGAAAATTCCCTTTATGAATGTGCTGAAATGTGCATGTACTCTTATATTCTAGTTGAACTTCCAGTTGTTTTAACCCATCTGTTTGCCTTTTTCATTCCTAGGAGAGAAGGTTGCACATGTACATAGTTTATTGTCAAAATAAACCAAAGTCTGAGCACATTGTCTCAGAATACATTGATACCTTTTTTGAGGTAAGACCCAAGATGGAAACAAAGCATTTCTGAATCTTTTGTTAAGGCTGATGTCAAAAATTAAAATATCATGTTTGCCAGGAATGAAGCAAGTCTCAGGAAGTTAGCCTCAGTTATGAGAGTTCTGAACCTGTTTCTTTCCTGTAAGTCAGAGAAATGAGTAGGAGTTCAGCCTGGGCTTGTGTACTCCCTTAGCTTTCAGAAGACTGGGGTCATTGTTAAAATAAAGGGATTTATTTAAGCAGTTTTGAACCTAAGTCTCATTACAGATGCAGAATAACTCATGATCTAAACGTTTAGCCTAAAAATAAAACGTGTTTGTATGAATAAAAGAAGGCAATTGAAAGAAGGTCTTTAAACAAGGAAAAAAGACTTTTACAAATAGCCCTCGGACGTTGAAGAGGCCACTCTGAGAAGTCGTGCGGGCCTGGTTGGGTTTTGTGCAGCGTGGCCGTCTTCCCCACTGCCTTTCCTGCCGTGTAGTTAGCATTTCCGACCGTTAGACTGACTTGACAACCGCCTTTTAAAAGACAACACTTAAGACCTTTCTTCTCTCCTTTAAAACCCCAGGACCTAAAGCAGCGTCTTGGCCACAGGCTGCAGCTCACAGATTTGCTCATCAAACCAGTGCAGAGGATCATGAAGTACCAGCTGCTCCTGAAGGTGAGTGTTTGCTGGGTGCAGACTGGGAGTCGGGCGTTTGTTTGGTGAGAAGGCCAGACGAGTGAGGGGAAGGAAGTTTGGGCAGGTGAAGGGACTCTTTCCTGTGAAAAAATACCCAGCAGTCTTCTTCTGATTTTAAATATTTCAGAGTAAATTTCTTAAAATCTAATAAGGCACCTTTACATCAAGGTCTGAATCAAAATGTTAGTTGAAGTGAACTTTTTCCTCACCACAGAACCATTTTCCTGGCTCTGTCGACTCTATATGTTCCCTCATCTTCCTGGGGTCCTGGGTTAAATTCAAATGTCAGTCCCCACCTGTTGCTTCTTTTGGCTCTGACAGGGCTCAGGACCCTTGAGTGGTTTAGATTTCTAAGCACGATTCAAGGCAAAGCCACACGGTTTTCTGGGACAAAAGTGACTGTTGAAATGTATTGAGATTCCTTCGAATACGAATATATAACTTGGAAGCTGGGTATCTACAGAGATCAGAGCTGTCTTGGAGTAAAAGAGGAGCCATTACCTGCTTAGATTTGGTTGATTTTGCTCTGCTACAGCTTGAAATCCACGTAAGGGTATCTTTTCACCAAGTTATTGGGAGAAAGAACTGAGAACATGCAGCTCAAGCGCCTGGCCCGGTGCCTGGCACATCAGGAATGATTCAGAAGGTTAGCTGCGTAGCTGCTGTGTGATCATCGCCCCTATCATGTTCTCTCTGTGCTTCTTGCAGGACTTCCTCAAGTATTCCAAAAAAGCTAGCCTGGATACATCAGAATTAGAGGTACCTACCTCCCCCCAGTGTGCTGGCCCAGCTTTCCCCTAATCCCCCCATGTCTCCCATGTCTCCCAAGCAGCCCACTCCTGGAGGAGTCTGTCCCTGGGGCCTTGAGTCCCTCCACTGGGATGTGCCCTGTGTACACGAGGGGGTGGGGAAGTCGGGAGGTGGACTTGGGGGTGGATGTGAGGGTAAGCACACCAACCCTCCCCGGAGGGCGCTGACCATTGGTGCTATCTCTCACGCGCTCTCTCTCTCTCTCTCTCTCTCTC